AAGTTTAAATATACCTAGTGTCAATCCTTAGAAACAGCATATTTTCCCAGAACCAGCCCACCCCAAAGAAGGAGCCAGAGAGGCCTGGGTTTGAATCTCTAGCTCTATCACATACTTTGTGAGCTTGGGCAACTCCCTATTCAGAACCGCATCTTATTCAGTATTCCATCCTTACAACTGGGATAATAATAGTTTCTAATAATAAGGTTTCTGTGTAATCAATGATATAATGTATAACAAATACTCATTCCAGGAACTGGCTCCCAGTAGTCATTCAATAAAGGGTATCTGTTGTCATTATTATTATCCCATTGTTAGTATTTATCAACAAATTTTAAAGGATCTAGAAGTAAGCATTTATCGAATATCTGGGTTTAGAGGCTTAAAAGCATTGGACAAAATCACTTTAAAAATCAGCACATTTGGCCCAGGTGCGGTGGCTCAGCCAAGGCGGAAGGATCACTTGAGGTCAGAAGTTCAAGACCAGTCCAGCCAACACGGGCAAGACCCCATCTCTACAAAATATACAAAAATTAGCCGGGCCTGATGGCGCACGCCTGCAGTTCCAGCTACTTGGGAGGCTGAGGTGGGAGAATGGTTTGAAGCTGGGAGGTAGAGGTTGCAGTGATCTGAGACAATGCCATTGCACTCCAGCCTGGACAATCTGTCTCAAAAATAAATAAATAAATAAATAAGCAAATTCGAATATGCATACACATTAGTTTCTTGACATAAAAAAACCTTCCAATCTCCCAATTAACTGAATACACTAGGAATAAATAGATGAATACAATGGAATATTATATCGCTATTAAAATGAACGAGGCGGTTCTATAAGCCTATATATGGGAGGATCTTTGGATTTCCTTTTTTTTTTTTTTTTTTTGAGACGGAGTCTCGCTCTGTCGCCCAGGCTGGAGTGCAGTGGCGCAATCTCAGCTCACTGCAAGCTCCGCCTCCCGGGTTCACGCCATTCTCCTGCCTCAGCCTCCCGAGTAGCTGGGACTACAGGCGCCCGCCACTGCGCCCGGCTAATTTTTTCTATTTTTAGTAGAGACGGGGTTTCACCATGGTCTCGATCTCCTGACCTTGTGATCCGCCCGCCTCGGCCTCCCAAAGTGCTGGGATTACAGGCGTGAGCCACCGCGCCCGGCCCGATCTTTGGATTTCATGTAAAAAAAAAAAATGTGCAGAATACTGTGATCCTATCTGGGGACAGAAAACAGGAGGATGGTATATATGTGCATAGATGTATAAAATTCCTCTGAAAGGATACATGAGAAATTAGTGAATATATGCTATCCCCAGAGGGAACTGGGTGGCTGGAGGATAGGGAGAGGGGGAGGTGCACTGTTGAAAGCCCAGCACCATGCATCCTGAATGTTTTCCCTAAATGTCCCTGGCTCTTAATGTCCACTAAGTTCTCAGCTGCCCACAGCATCTCTCTCTACCCTCTTCTTCCTCCTGGTTCCCCATTGGAAGCAACTCCTGCCCCATCGGTTCCTGGGCCAGACTCAGGGAGTTGCTTTCCTACCTGCTTCCCGCCCACAGGTTCCTGTTCTCTGCCCCCATTGCCCAGCAGTCTCCAGCCATCTCCAGCTCCTCACATTCCTGCCCCACCCCTTCCTCTCTCCCCAGGTCCTAGCCCGCAAACTGCAGGGAGAGGACCTCCTCCCCAGCCTCCACCAGTCTCTCCCCCTCCAGTCCACACAGCCTCAGCGGGGTCTGACGTTCAGATATAACCCTGTCCCGGTCCCTTGCTCACAACCTTCCAGGACTCCCTCTCATCCTCAGAAGGCTAAGTTCCCAGCCTGGCCTGAAACTCCCTAAGAATCTGACCCCGCCCGCTCGTCCCAGCCTCATCTCCTGTGCTCCTTGGCTCATGGCTTCGGAGGCTCTAGTCAGACTTAAGGGCTTTGTTGTCCTCCCAGCACCTCCTTGGTTTCGTGCCTTGGGCCTTTGCTTCAGCTGTGCCCTCTGCCTGGAAGGGCCTTAGTGGAGGTCATGCCACAACCACGCCTTCTCTGGAGGTCCTCTCTGCCGTCTCCAGCTGCCAGGATTCCTCCCGCTCTGGGCTCTCACAGCCTCTGGCCTCTCCCTGTGTCATACCCTGATCACCCGGAATTGGGACTGTCTGCGGCTGGCTCTGTCTCTTCCATCAGACTGTGAGCTCCATCTGCAAGGGCAGATTCAGGTCTGATTCACCTTTGAGTCCCCAGTGGGTGGGGGTGGGGGGGTGGAGAGACCAAAGCTGGTGGGGGGGGAAGCTGGGAGAGCAGGAAGGGGGAGAGAGAGAAGGGCAGACCCTGACTGGTTGGGGGAGAGAGGGGAGGAGAAAGCGAGAGAGAGGAAGAACAGAGACACAGAGACAGGGAGGGAGGGAGAGAAACAGAGAAAAGGGAAGAATAAATGGGAGACACAGAAGCCCCACAGGCAGAGAAAGAGGATGGAGACCGGGAGAGGGCGAAAGGAAGGACAGATGTGCAGAGACATAAGGGAGGACAGACGGAAAGAGACAGAGAGGTAGCAAAAGCAACCAAGAATGACAGGAGCAGAGAGGAGGAGGGAAAGAGGGCGAGAGAGAGAGAGAGAGAGAGAGAGAGAGAGAGAGAGAGAGGAGGGAGGGAGAGAGGGAGCGAGAGAGCGAGAGAGCACGCACAGAGCGAGGAGGAGGAGGCGCAGGAGAGAAGAGGGAGGGAGGCCAGCGAGGGACAGGACAGGGCGGAGAGGCGGAGGGGACCTAGGGAAGCCGGGGAGGAGCGAGACTGGCCGAGGGAGGAGGGCGGGCGAGGCGGGAGCGCCGGCCGCCGCCGCCTCCCGGCCTCTTTTGTCCCTTCCCTCCTCTGCGTCAGGCTCCCCTGGCCCGGCCTCCCCCTCCCGCTCCCTCCTCCGCCCCGCTCCTCCTCCCCGAGGCTGGATGGAATTTTTTCCCCTGGACCTGGGCCAGCTCCGGGGCAGGGGGGAAGCCAGGCCGGACTGGGCTGGGCGGTGGGGAGGGGCCGGGGCGGGGGGCCCCCTGGGGAGGGGGCTGGTCCCACGGCCGCGCCGCCGGCGGGGTCTGGGGAGGGGGAGCCCCGGGCCGCAGAGCCGGGGAGGAGGCGCCGGCCGGAGGGAGTCGGGGAGAAGGGAAGGAGGATGGTGGGGACGGCGGGAGGAAGGGGAGAGGCCGCCGGGCGGCGAAGGCGGGGAGAGGATGGAGAGCGCTCGGCGGCGTTGGGGCCCGGCCTACGGGCCCGGGGCGGCGGAGAAGACCCTTCCCTGCGACGCGGGAGCCGCGGGAGCCGTGAGTCTGCGGAAAGGGAGGTTGGGGGGCTGGGGCCTGGACTCCTGGGTCCCTGAGGGAGGAGCACCCGAGGGCCTGGATTTCTGGGTTCTTGGAGGAGGAGTTGGGGGTGGGGAGGTGGGGTGGCTGGGAGCTCAGACTCCAGAATCCTTGAAGGAGGGGGCTGGGACCTGAATTCCGGGGTCCAGAAGCTGGAGAAAGCTGGGGACACCTCCTAGATTCAAGAGGGAGGACAGAGATGGGGGCTGGCGCTGGGGCTGGTAGGATCCTGGCTGGAGGAGACTAGGGGCGAGCTGCCCGAGCCCTCGGGGGAGGTGGAGGAAGACTGTCTGACTTTGGAGTGCCTGCGGCAGCGGAAGAGTTAACGTCTGGCCGGAGGGGAGGGGGAGGGGCAGGGATGGGGCTGCGGGGCTTTGAGGGGTCAAGGGTGAGCCGTGCCAGTGGGAGGGGGCCGAGGAGGAGGGGGAGGTTGTCTGGGCTGCCAGACAGGCCAGGGTCAGCGGCGGGGGCAGGGGATGTCTGGAGGAGGAGAGGCCCAGCATCCATGCTCCCTCGGGGACCCGGGATTCCAGTCCCAGCCCCCTCCTCCCTCAGACCTGGGAGTACACCACCCAGTCCCCCACCCATTCCCCCACCCATTCCAAAATCCGAGCCCCCAGCCCCCTTTTTTCCAGGATCCAGGAGTCTGAGCCTTAGTCTGTTCTCTCAGACCAGGGAATCCACACTCCAGCCCCTAACTCCTTCAAAACCCCAGAGTTCAGAACCTCAGCCCCTCTTCCCGAGGAGCGCGGCCCCCAACCCTCTGCTCCTCTAGAACCCAAGCGTCCAGGCGCCGGCATCTTTCTCCCTTTGAAGCCTGCAGTTCTGGGGATCCCCAGGCCCCTCCTCCCCCGGAACCCAGGAGTCCCCACCTCCTCTTTAGCCCCAGCTGGAGTCCAGCCCTCCAGGGGTTAAGGGGGCGGGGCCAGCTGGTTACCATGGTGCCAGACTGTTTGGGTCTGCTCTCTGACCCTTGGGGGCTCCCCAGGGTCCGCAGAGAGGGGGAGGGGGACCTAAGCCTGGGGGAAGTCCAGAGCCTACCCCTTCCCCAAAGCCGGCCTGTGGGCCCAGGGAGTTCGCGTTTCCACCAACGCCTTGTCCAGTGACCTTGAACAAGTCCTAACCCTTCTCTCTCCGCCTCAGTTTCCCCAAGGAAACACTGGTTGACGGGTTGGGGAGATGCTTAGGTCCCGGGAATCTTTGAGATTCTCGGCTTCCCCTCTCCCCTCACCCCCCTCCTCAGGCCCCAGGCAGCCCCAGGGCATGCTGGGAACCCAGGCCTGGGCTCCGGGCCAGGTTGGTGGGGGGGGCGGGGGCAGCCTCCTCCCTTCCCCTTCCTCCCCACCTTGGCCTGACTCTCGCCCCCGCCTGAGGGTCTGGGAGGTTGGGAAGGAGGGAAGGGGGAAGAGAGGTGGGACCATAGACCCGTCTCCGGCCCCCCGCCTCCCCCTTTCCTTCTCCGCCCCTTTCCCGCCTCTCCTCCCCCTCCTCAGCAGGTCGCTACCCCAGCCCTGGGCCCCTTCTCAAACCACCCCCACCCCACCCCCAGCTCCAGACCTGGCTCGAGCTGCGAGGGGGAGGGAGAGAGAGAAGGAGAAAGAGAGAGAAGGGAGGGAGACCCAAAGAGAGAAGGGGGAGGGGAGGAAAGAGAGAGACCTAAGAGGGAGGGAAGGAGAGAGAGGGAGAGAAAGGGAGAGACATAGAGACAGAGAGAGAGCAGGAAGGAGGGAGGTGAGGGATGGAGAGAGGGAAGGGGTGGAAGGAGAGGAAGTGAGGAAAGACATCTGAAAAAAGGGGGTGGAGAAGGGTGAGAGACCAGAGAGAGACAGAGACTGAGAGGGCCAGAGAGAATGAGAGAGACAAAGAGAGGGAAGGGAGAGAAGGGGAGGATGAAAGACAGAAGGTAGAGGAAAAGAAGGAGAAAGGGGGAGAGAGGGAAGAAAACAGGAGCGGGGAGAGGAGAGAGGCAATGGGGAGAGAGAGAGAAGCCAGCGCAGAGCCAGGGAGGGATGTCCTGATACAGGAGGAGGCTAGGAACCAGGGAAGGTGGAAAGAAAGAGGGAGAGAGAAAAAAGGCAGGGCCAGAGAGACCTGGACTGCGAGGAAGGAACGGGAAGGTGTGGCTGTAGCAGGGGCAGCTAGAACCGGACAGTCCAGGAGGACGGGACTGGGCACGGGAGAGACCCCAGCTGGAGGAGCTCTGAGCCCAGGGGTGGGGAGGGTGGGTGCTGGGTCCACCGCCCACCTCTCGCAGGCCGACTTTGGGAGCCTCTTCCCCTCTCAGAGGCTCAGCCCCCTCACCTGCCAAATGGGGATGCTGAGGGCACCTGGCTGTCTGGACTGGGAGGTGTCAGAGAGAGGACTGGTGCTCTGGGCCTGGTATGGGGTCAGCGCTGGGAGATTGTGGCTGTCATTATAAATGACCCAAAGAAGAGAGGAGAGAGGAAAGAAAGTACCCAGGGAGGCTTTGACGGTTGGCTAGCCCCTGGCCTCCTGGCCCTGGGCACGGAGTCTCTGCAGACTGACAGGAGGGTGGGTAGGAAGCAGGTGTGCCCAAAGGGCCAAATTCCAAGACAGATGAGGTTCTCTCCCAGCCGGCACCCAGGAAGCCAGGTTTTCTATCAGGCCATGCCTTCCCCAGGAGGCCTGCGTGGCCCAAGGGAGGAGGGACTGGGGGCGGGGACTCCTGGATCTCTGGGGAGAAGGGGGCTTTGGATCTGGACTCATGAGTCTGAGGGAGGAAGGGTTGAGTCCTTGGATTCCAGAAACATTTGGGGAGAAAAGGGCCAGGGGCCTGGATTCCTGGATCTCTGGTGAGGACTCTGGTCTCTGGTAAGGGCTTGGACTACTGGGTTCTTTAGGGAGGAGAGGGATGAGGGCCTTGACTCCAGGGTCCCTGATGAGGAAGGGGCTGAGGGCCTGGACTCCTGGGTTCCTTGGGGAGGAGGGGCCGGGGGCCCGGACTCCTGGGTCCTGGCACCCACCCGTAGAACCGACCTTGCGGGGCCTTCGCCGCACACAAGCTCGTGTCTGTGGGTCCGTGTCGGGGGCTCACCATCGCGGCTGGGGCCTCCCCGGCCCTCCCCCCCACTCCCTGGTCCTCCTGGTCCCTGTCTGTCTGTCTGTCGGGTCTGTCCGCCTGCCGCGCCCCCCGGGCTGAGGTAGGAGGTTGTATAGTTGAGGAGGACACCCAAGGAGATCACTATACGGCCTCCTAGCTTTCCCCAGGCTGCGCCCTGCACGGGACGGGGCCCGGCGGGGACCCCCAGCCCCACTCGGGGACCGTGAGCCCCACTGGGCTGCCCCAGGGACCCTGGGAGGAGGAGCCAGGCTCTTTTCTGTCCTTGTCGCTGCATCCCCTCCTTCCCCTGAAATCTGTTTTCCTTCCCTGTCTGTCTCTCCGTCTCCGCTGTGTCTCTGTGACTTCTGCGTCTCTTTCACAGTGGATCCTCCGACTCCCTTTTATTCTGGCTTTCTAGGTCTCTGCCCCTCCCGATATCTCTCCGTGTCTCTGTTTCTGTCTTTTTTGGTCTTTCTGTCTCTGGTTCTCGGAATGTCTCTGTACCCATCTCCATCTCTGACCCCCACCCCAGGGCCTACCCGGGCCACCGCGTACCATGTTGCCAGTCTCTGGGTCCCTGAGACCCTTTAACCTGTGAGGACATCCAGGGTCACAGGTGAGGTTCTTGGGAGCCTGGCGTCTGGCCCAACCGCACACCTGGGGAATTGCTGGCCTGACCTCTGACCCCTGACTTCTCATACGCTTCCTCCAGAGCATGACATTTGACCCCCAACTGAAACCTGACCTCTGACCCTAGACCACTGGCCCTTCCCCCACCCTGGGGTGACTTCATAAAGGTTACTAGCTTCTCCCCTGGCCTTGAGACCCACACGATGGCCCTGCTGGCCCTGGCCAGTGCCGTCCTGTCTGCCCTGCTGGCCCTGGCTGTCTTCAGGGTGCCCGCCTGGGCCTGTCTCCTCTGCTTCACAACCTACTCTGAGCGCGTCCGCATCTGTCAGATGTTTGTCGGCATGCGGGGCCCCAAGCTCGAGGAGTGTGAGGAGGCCTTCACGGCCGCCTTCCGGGGTCTCTCTGACACCGAAATCAGTGAGGAGACCATCATCAGTGTCCTGGGGAAGGTGCAGAGGGAGGAACCAGAGAGGCCCAGAGGGTCAGGCTGAGGGACAGGCAGAGAGAAATAGTCAGAGGAGAAAGGCTCAAAGACCATGAGAATAACAGAGATTTAGGGACAGAGAGACACGGACAGGGGAAGACAGCAGGGCAGAGACTCAGAGAGGGGAGGATGGAGAGTCAGAGGGGAGGATGGAGACTCGGGAAAATGGAGAGTCAGAGGGGAAGATGGACACTCGGGAGGATGGAGAGTCACAGAGAGGGGAGGATGGAGACTCAGAGAGGGGAAGACGGAGACTCAGAAGGATGGAGACCCAGAAAGGGGAGGATAGAGATGAGGCAGAGACTAGGGAAGCAGGGTAGAGACTGGTCGGGGGCAGAGACTCAGGGAAGATGGAGACTCACAGAGAGGGGACGATAGAGACTTGGGAGGGACTCAGGAAGCATAGCGACTGTGGGCAGAGAGTCAAGAGAGGGAAGGATGCAGACTTGGGAGGGCAGAGACTCGGACAGGATGTTCCCATTAGGGACATGGTGGTGTGGGAGCTGCCTCCCCCAGCCCCTGCCCCCTCCCTCACCGCCAGACTATGACGAGAGAAGCCACCTGCATGACGCCTTCACCCAGATGACCCATGCCCTGCAGGAGCTGGCTGCTGCCCAGGGTGAGTGTGTGGGGATGGGGAGATGGGAGATGTGGACTTGGAGCTCCCAAGAAATGGGTATGTGTGAGGGCCCGAGGAGTCTCAGGGACGTTTAGGAGGCAGCTAGATACCCAGGTGCAGAGGAAGGAGGCCCCCAGAGTTGGGCAGTGATCTGGGAAGGGAAAGCTGGGAAGCCATTGAGCTCAGCTACTTGTCCAAGCAAAGGCTGAAGGTAGCTCTAAGAGCCAGGGGCTGAAGGTGGTGAGGGGGAAGGGACGCTGCAGAAATGGTCTAGAGCTGGAAGGCCAGATGGGGTCGGCATAAGTTCTGCCATGGCTGCATGGCTCACAATCTTAACTGGCTATGAAGTTCTGGGTGGGTCACTGCCCCTCTCCTGGCCTCAACTTACCCATCTGTAGAGTGGGACAATCTTCTTGCCTCCTAGGATGGCCACAGAGCTCAGCGGCCGGGGAGGGCAGGGGGAAATTGGGGTGCCTGATGAGCCTGACCTTAGGGAAGGCATCTTCCTCTAGGATAGAACACACACACACACTTGCACACACACACACACACTTACACTCACACACACACAGATTTCTTATAAAATGATTCCACATTTTTGAGATGTGAGGCAATTAGAGGGCAGGAAAACAGGAACAGCAGAGTGGATCGCTCAGGTGACAGCAGTGAAGAGAGACGAGGTGTGACTGTCCTGGTGAGACAGGCACACGCAACAGCCTTGAGGTGTGTGGCTGTGCAAAGAGACCTCAGGACTGGGGGCCACACATGGCCGATGGGCAGTAATCATGCCAGGTCACCATGGCCGTGATCCCCACAGCGTGCCAGACCCTGGAACTGTGGAGGCTCAGAGTTGCTGGAGTTACAGAGCCCTGCGCTATAGAATAAACCGGCTTCCTCTTAGATCCAGGAGCTCAGGGCTTATTCCCACACCCACAGTCGCTCCTTTTGCTTCCTGCTTTGCCCTCCAAGTGCCTTGTCAAAGATCCCGGAAGAGGGAAGATTCCCATCCACCCAGGGGGCATCCAGGGCCAGCCTGGAGAAGGTCTCAGCAGTGGCTCCCCTACCTCCACCCTAAAGGGAGATCTGAGGCCCTAAAGGTCTCCATCTGGGGTGTGCAGGATTCCAGGAAATGCGCTTTCTCCCTACTTAGCCTGCCTAGTCACAGAAGCTTTTAAAAAGATCAGGAACCTTTGGATCTGGGAGTGGAAGCCTTCTGTGGGGCCGCATGTGGGACAAACTTGGAGGGGAGAGAGAAGAGGCTGGGTGAGGGTCCAGGCCAGAGCGGAGGGCTGAGTGGGGGCTGGGGCTGTGAAGGTGGAGAAGAAGGCCCAGGGCCAGAGTTAGGTCTGCTGGGCTGTTTGGGGAAGCCTAAAGAACAGCGTCTGACACAGGCCCTGCTCGTGCCTGTTGGGCCGTGGGTCATCACTGAAGTAAGGAGCCTGAGAGAAAGAGCCAGGGGCAGATGATGAGCATGTAGTGAATGTAGTGACTTCGAGGAGTCTCCGGGACGTTTAGGAGGCAGCTAGATACCCAGGTGCAGAGTTCAGCAGAAAAAGTCAGAGTTTTGAGTCTCTTTCTTCAGGGCACTGGGGAGCTACAGCAGGAGTGTGAACAGCAGAGAAGTAGGGGCAGCTCTGGCTGTAGAAAGAACCCTCTGGGGTCGTGTGGAAGATGGCCCAGAGGGAGAGTCTGGAGGCTGGGAGAAGCTGGTGCAATACGTTCAATGATATTTACCGAATGTGCCGGGAACAACCCTGGGAACACAGCTGTGAACAGAACTGCAAACCACCCGTCCTCGGGTTGCTTATATTGGGGCGGAGTCTGGGGAGACAGACAACAAACACAATATCTTAGTATCTTAGTATGTCAGTTGGTGATCCCTGCTGTGGAGGAAAACAGAGAAGGGGAAGAGAAAGGGGGGATAGTTTTCTTTTTTAAAATTTAATTTACTTATTTATTTATTTGAGACAGAGTCTCACTCTGTCGCCCAGGCTGGACTGCAGTGGTGCGATCTCGGCTCACTGCAAGCTCCGCCTTCCGGGTTCACACCATTCTCCTGCCTCAGCCTCCCAAGTAGCTATCCTCATAGACAGGTGGTTCTCAAGGCCCAGCATACATCAGAATCCCCTGGGAGCTTATTTAAAATGCAGATTTCTGGACCCTACCGCCTCCGACCAGCAGGTCCAAGGTAGGGCCCAGAAATGGACATTTCTGTCAAGATCCCAGGCAATGCTCATGATGCGGCTCCGGGAACACTCTGAGAATTGCTGTTGTAGGCCCTTGGAATGACTTTTGTTTTTTGCTCTTGAAATGGGGGAGCTATTGGAGGACTTTACACGGAGAGACAGGATCTGACCTGGGATTTAACAAGATCTCTCTGGCAGCTATGTGGGTGCTGGACAAAGGCAGGAATTCCGACTTCCAGTGAGAAGCCTGCCCGTGGTGGCTTGGATCAGTCACAGTGGTCTGGGGGGCCCAGATGAGGTCTGAGCAGAGGGGGGTGGGCATAAGGATTTGACCGTGTGCCAGGCCTGCCCATGCATGTTAGAGGCTGTGTTTGCCATACACAGAGTCATTCATATTAAGTATCTTCCTAAAGGATATCCTCTACCGGCCCTGTGAGGCTGGGTTTTATAGTCCTGCTTATCAGATGGGAACGCTGGGGCTCTTCTGGACAAGAACAGTAGACCTGGGATATATTTGGAGATAGACTGGACCAGATGTAGGTGGGTGAGGGCAACGGGAAGAATCAAGGATGACTTTTGCGTCTCCTCCAAAGGGAGGAGCAGGGAGATGGAGGAGCTGACGTAGGCTGACTGCCTCTCGGTGATCCCAGGTGATCTTATTTGTATATATGTATACATAAACCATGGAGTGGATGACCTGGTACAGACCAGATGCAGTATTAGGTGTGGAGATTATGCATGCAGCGATTAGGTATGGAGGCTCTGTAGCCTGATCACCAGGGTCAAACGTAGCCATGTGACTTTGGACCACTTCTGTAATCTCCCCACGCCTCCGTTTCCCCATCTCAAACTTGGAGATGGCAATCCTAAGTTTGCCAACCTTCTCTAACACTCACTATGTGCCAGGAGCCATTCTACATGCTTAGCAACACCATCTCATACAATCCTTAAACGATGCCCTGAAGGAGTGGGGATGAGGAAGCCTTCATGGTTGTATGGCATCTCATCCTTCCCAACCCTGTCATACAGACACTGCTATCATCCCCATTTGATGAATGAGGAGACTGAGGATCAGGAAGGTGAAGTCACTTGGCCAAGGTCACATGGGGAGGAGGGCTTGTGATTGATACTCAGATCTGAGACAGGTGTACTCAAGATGGAAGCGCCAGGACTCAGGCCCCAGATGATCTGAACCAGGGTCAGAGCTCCTGATGATATGCAACTCCTCTGGGGGAGACTTTACAACACCCACCCATGCCTCTTTGTGGCCTGCTTGCTATAACCCAGGCCATTTGGAACATTTCACTCCATTCATATTCCCCTGGTGGGTTATAAGCCCAACCCACCACCATGGCTTACTTGGTATATCCCACATTCACCCTGCCCATTAGTCCTTTGATTTGGCCCATAGACATTCTTTGGATGACTCCTGCAACATCCTGGCATCTCATTTGTGCACCCCAGTCTGACCACATGCTCCTGATCATCCTGCCATCTTGAGACCACACTCTTGCTCTGTGGCCAAGGAGGGACCACTAGGTCCTCATTTGAAACTCACTTCTCGGCATCAGTGCTTCCTCCCTCCAACTGTATATCCAATGATCGTCGTTTCAGCCACTCTCTTGCCAGTATCCTCAGTTCCCTCCCTTTTTGTATGGCTTTAATCACAGAGGACGCTTTCCCCTGTCCTTGCAATGGCTTAAGCCCATAGGAAGTTTCTCTCTCCTATATAAAGTAAGTCTTGAGGTAGGCACTTAAGGGTAGTGTGGCACCTCCGTTTCTTGGGGATCCAAGCTCCTTGAAGACTTAATATCCCAGGGAATAGCCCTTGTCCTCCTCATGGTCCTATGTGGCTGCTAGAGCTCCAACCATCAAAACAAATTTTCAGGCAGCAGGATGGATGAGGGGAACAATAAGATGGCACCACCTTCTCTCTGTTTTTTAGAGACAGAGTCTTGCTGTATTGCCCAGGCTGGAGTACAGTGGTGCAATCATAGCTCACTACAGCCTCGAACTCCTGGGTTCAACCATCCACCCACCTCAGCTTCCTGAGTAGCTAAGACTACAGACACATGCCATCACACTTGGCTAATCTATAAAAATTTGTTTAGAGATGGTGTCTTGATATGTTGCCCAGGCTTATCTTGAACTCTTGGCCTCAAGTGATCCCGTCACCTCAGCCTCCAGAGTAGCTGGGATTCCAGGTGCAGTACCACCTCCCTTTTAAGGCCACCTCCTGTGACTCACATATAACACATCCATTTACATCCTATGGCTATAACTTGGTCACATGACCACAACTGCAAGGCAGGCTGGGAGATGAAGCCTTTTATCTGTGTTCTGTGGATATCGATATACAGATATTTGGAGGCAATGGACAATTCCTGGGTATTGGTTTGCTGGGACCACTGTAACAAAGTACCGTAGACTGGGTGACTCGAACAACAGAAGTGTCTGCCTTCCGGAAGTCTGAGATCAAGGTTTTGGTGTCAGCAGGGTTGGTTTCTTCTAAGGCCTCTCTCTTTGGCTTGTAGATGCTTTCTTCATATGTCCCTGTGTGCATCTCTGTGTCCTAATTTCCTCTTCTCATAAGGATACCAATCATACAGCATTATGGCCCACCCTAATGACCTCATTTGAACTTAATCACCTCGTTAAGAACCAAGTACAGTCACATTCTGAGGTACTGAGAGTTAGGACTTCAACATACAAATTTGCTTGGGTGGGGGGCACCACAATTTAGCCTATAAAACCCTGCCACATTTCTGATTTCCACAAACCACCACGAGATCAAGTCAGCTGTCTACTTTTTCTTATTCCACGGGAACAAGCCACAAACCCATACAGTTTGGATTTGGAGACCACTGCAGTGGTCAAAACACAAGGCCAGGCATGGTGGCCCATACCTGTAATCCCAGCACTTTGGGAGGCTGAGGTGGGCAGATCACTTGAGGTCAGGAGTTTGAGACCAGCCTGGCCAACGTGGTGAAACTCCATCTGTACTAAAAATACAAAAATTAGTTGGGCATGGTGGTGGGTGCCTGTAATCCTAGCTACTGGGGAGGCTGAGGCAGGAGAATTGCTTGAACCTGGGAGGTGGAAGTTACAGTGAGCCAAGATCACGCCACAGTACCCCAGCCTGGGCAAAGAGCGAGACTCTATCTCAAAACAAAACAAAAACACCTACAAAGACGAGGAAGATAAAAGAGTAAAAGATGGGTAAATACAGAAGTGAATAGAGGATGGGGACCATGGAAGTGGCCAGTGTGTGCCCCATTTCAAGGGAATGGCTGCTACTCATCTCCAGCTATTCGCTGCCTTATGGAAATACGATCTTTGTGTTACAGCTCTTCGAACTTTGTAAAAAGATGCCAAATGTTTTATGTGACATTCCAAATTTTATATGTTGGCAACTGGTTCATTTTCTTTTAAACACTTTCCAGGCCAAATATAACACATCCCAGGGATGGATTTGGGCCATAGGCCACCAGTTGGGGTCTCTAGTTTGAGTTGGATCCTGGAATTCATTGTACAAATACTAACTGAGCACTTTTAAGACTCAGGGCCCTCTCCAGGATTCAGAGGACACAGCGCTACAGAAGAACATGTTTAATTTACTTACGAGACAGACATACGTGATGATCATCTATATATAAATATATGTAATTGCAGACGGATGAGAGCTAGGAATGAAATGATGGCAATGAGAGACAAAAACAGGGAACTTGGTTAGATCTGTGGTGATGGAAGGATGATTAGGAGAAGGAAAAATGTGTTAAAAACCGAAGCCAGCATGTGCAAAGGCCCTGAGGTGCTAGAGAATGTGGTGGTTTTCATATGAAAGGAAATGAGGCCGGGCATGGTGGCTCATGCCTGTAACCCCAACACTTTGGGAGGCTGAGGTGGGTGGATCACTTGAGGTCAGGAGTTCGAGACGAGCCTGTCCAACGTGGTAAAACCCCATCTCTACTAAAAACACAAGTATTAGCCAGGCGTGGTGGCGCATTCCTGCAGTCCCTGCTACTGGGGAGGCTAGGGCAGGAGAATCATTTGAACTCAGGAGGCGGAGGCTGCAGTGAGCCGAGATCACGCCACTGCACTCCAGCCTGGGTGACAGTGAGACATTGTCTCAAAAAAATAAAGGAAATGAAAGGTGGGCAGTAGGGATGGGACAGGGAGGGAGGGGGAACTAGGCCAAACCACGTAAGACCTAATAGGCCTTGGGGAGGAATTTTATCTTTATCCTGCCCTTCTCCCCGCAACAAGCTATACACAGGTGTCCAGGAGGGCTTCCATCCTGGAGAGATTCAGGAGGCAGAAGGAGACTTAGGGACTTGTTAGCCTTCAAGTACACAAGGCGAGAGATAAGAAGAGGAGCAGAGGATATGGCAATAAGAGAGGGGTGAAGAGGGGCCGGGAAAGGGCAGATACCATGACAGCACGTCCTGTGAGCTAGGGCCAGCATAGCCCTAGCCAGGCTAGATCAGAATGCAGGACCAAGGACCAAGCCGTAGGGGAAGGGCTTTACTACACAGGCCGTCCTCCCCTCCACTCTCCAGGATCCTTTGAGGTTGCCTTCCCTGATGCTGCAGAGAAAATGAAGAAGGTCATTACACAGCTAAAAGAAGGTAAAATACACTCCATCTCTCCTCTCCCAGACACACAAACACAATTAGAAAACCCCACTTTTGGCCGGGGATGTTGGCTCACGCCTGTAATCCCAGCACTTTGGGAGGCTGAGGCGGGCAGATCACTTGAGGTCAGGAGTTCAAAACCAGTCTGACCAACATGGTGATACCCATATCTACTAAAGATATAACAATTAGCTGGGCGTGGTAGCGCATGCCTGTAATCTCATCTACTCAGGAGGCTGAGGCAGGAAAATCGCTTGAACCCTGGAGGCGGGGTTGCAGGTGACCGGAGATTGTGCCACTGCACTCCAGCCTGGATGACAGAGCAAGATACCATCTAAAAACAAAACCCACTCCTGAGACCCCCATCCACTCCCCTTCAATCCCCTGGTCCCATCTCTGAGCCTCAGACCTTGAGCAAGGACTCTTACCCCGCATGGACCATTTTTGATCCAGCTCCGCCCCTTCGATGAAGTTTCCCCTCCAACTGAGTCCCTTTCTGGGACTACTTCTAGCCTGGCCACGCCTCTTTTAGTGGGCTACCACCTTAGCCCCGGTCTCCTGCAAGGATCGCCCAGGATCTAGCCCCGCCTCCTCGGTGGAATACACCTGGACTGCCCATCCCCCTCAGGGCCTACAACAAACCAGTGTGGCTCCCCCTAAACCCCAAGTAGAAGGCTGGCAGCAGGCCTGGGCCTGAACTTGTAATGGAATGCTCAGGCTTGGCCCCGCCCCCAGGTTATGACGAAAGCTTGGCCCTACCTCCTCGGAGCAATGCGTCCAGCCTTGTAACATCCGTTAGGGGAGCATCAGGCAGGGTTCTTCCCGCGACTTTAAGGTAGTGATGTTTCCTCTTCCTCCACAGCCCAGGCCTGCATCCCTCCTTGCGGTAAGGACTTCATCTAAAACTTGGAATTGCGGGGTAAGGGAGGCGGTCGGGGCCGAATCCTACGACATCAAGTGGGGGAAATCGGGTGGGCTTCAAATCCTTAGGAGGCCAATAAGGCCTGGAGAAAAGGAAGTAAACCAGGTATTGCTCTAAATCCTCAGAAAGTGGGTGTGAGAGCCGAAGCAAACCAATAGGAATCCTAGAGGGCGGAGGGCGTGAGAGTCGGCTAAGGACAGCAGGGAGGGCGAGGTCAAGATGCCACCTGGCCTATGGACCCTGGGAAGCTACATGGATCTCAAATGGGCCAAGGGCCCCGGGCTTGGGAGGGCAGGTGGCGCCTGACGCAGCGTTCCCGCCCCACAGGTCTCCAGGAGTTCGCCCGGCGTTTCCTCTGCAGCGGGTGCTACTCCAGGGTCTGCGACCTCCCGCTGGACTGCCCAGGTGAAGGGGCGGGACCTCGGGGTGCAGGAGACTAGAGAAAATGGGACCAGAGCACCGAGGGGCATGAGCTGGCTGGTGGCGAGCCAGATGTTGGCGGGGCCCAGCGAGTGAACCCAGCTCCGTCTTCAGTTCAGGATGTGACAGTGATTCGGGGCGACCAGGCTATGTTTTCTTGCATCGTGAACTTCCAGCTGCCAAAGGAGGAGATCACCTATTCCTGGAAGTTCGCAGGAGGAGGTGTGAGTCGGGGCGGGGCAGGCGCGAAGCGTTTAGACGGGCGAGTTAGGCTTCACTAGAGGTTGGGGAGTCAGCTTTCGGGGACTGGACTCCACAAAGCTCCGTCTGGACACAGGCATCAGCAAGAGGAGGGTCCCAGGATTTAGGGGAGAGCTCGAAGATCAGAATGCAGGACCAAGGACCTGGGGCGGTGGCTCACAACTGTAATCCCAGCGCTTTTGGAGACCAAGGCGGGAGGATGGCTTGAGGCCAGGAGTTCGAGACCGGCCTATGCAATATACTAAGACCCCCCCACCTCTACCAAAAAATTTTAAAAACAGCCGGGCGTGGTGGTGCACGCCTATAGTCCCAGACACTGGGGAGGCTGAGCGGGAAGATTGTTTAAGTCCAGGAGTTCGAGGCTGCAGTGAGCTATGATCACGCCACTGCAGTGCAGCCTGGGCGCCAAAACGAGACCTTGTCTGGAAAAGAAAAAAGAATAAACACCACATACATAAATAAAAGCAGGTTCTAGGGGTAGGTTATGCGTAAGGGTTTAAGGAGGGGAAGAGGTGCGTTTACGGCAGAGGAGCAAGTAGAAGGCTCGGAGGCGGGCTGCTCAAGGCTCAGGGCCGGGACTCCAGGAGGCGTGGTCTAGCTCGGGGGGCGGGGCTTGTAGGTTACTCAGTGGCAAGCCGGAGTTGAGGAGTTTAAGCCCGCGCGTCTCGCAGCTCCGGACTCAGGACTTGTCCTATTTCCGAGATATGCCGCGGGCCGAAGGATACCTGGCGCGGATCCGTCCGGCGCAGCTTACGCACCGCGGCACGTTCTCCTGCGTGATCAAGCAAGACCAGCGCCCCCTGGCCCGGCTCTACTTCTTTCTTAACGGTGGGGCGGGGCGCGGCGGCGCTAGCGAGGGGGGCGGGGCGAGGGGTGGGGCTCGTGCCTGACTGACGTGCGCGCCCCCGCAGTGACGGGCCCGCCCCCGCGGGCGGAGACAGAGTTGCAGGCCTCGTTCCGGGAAGTGCTGAGCTGGGCGCCGCGGGACGCCGAGCTGATCGAGCCCTGGAGGCCCAGCCTGGGCGAGCTGCTGGTCAGGCCCGAGGCTCTGACGCCCAGCAACCTGTTCCTGCTTGCAGCCCTCGGGGCCCTGGCATCCGCGAGTGCGACCGTGTTGGCGTGGTGAGTCCTCGGTACCCCGGCGCCCCAGCATCTAGCTCCCCGCTCTCTCAGATCCCCACCGAGAAGTCTGGGTTCCCACCAACCTCCAACCCAGGAGGTCGGACTCTCAGTCCCTCCCCTCTCAGACCCACGAGTCCAGGTCCCAGCCCCTCCTTACTCAGCCCAGGAATCCAAGTCCCCAGCTCGCTGCTCCCTTAGATCTAAGAATCCAGGTCCCCAGCCCTTCCTCCCTCAGACCCGGGAGTCCAGGCCCCTACACCTCTCCTCACTCAGACCCAGAAGTCCAGGGCCTTAGCCCCTCCTCCCTCAGACCCAGGAGTCCAGGCCCTTGTCCACCTTTTCGACCCTGGTGTCCAGGCCTCCAGGACTTAAGTTTCTAGTCCCCAACCCCTCCTGTAACACACATACCTCTTTGTTTCCCCAGGATATTCTTTCGATGGTACTGCAGTGGCGACTAACAAAGGTATCTCTTTCCTCCTTCCCTATCCTATTTCCATTGTGAAAATAAAGAATATATTTCAACTCTGGATTGTTTCATTTCTGAAGGTGGTCACTACTAGGTCAGGTTGGAGGTGCAGCAAGCCCACACATGCCCAGATGAATATGGCCCGCATAATGACAGTTAGGCATAGCTACCGCAGTGCAAGTTAGGTGGGAACCCAGATACCCCCTCAGGTTACTGGCTGTCTCCTTGACATTTCCACCTGCAGAAGGCACCCTCAAATAGAGGCCTCCATTTTGCCTTCAGAGGCTGTTCCTCCCCAAGGCTTTCCTCCTACCAGAAAGAGCAACACCATCCACCTAGCAGCTCAAACCAGAAACCTTGGAATCTGACTCCTCCTCCACTTCCAATTCATTTTCATTTCCAACTCTCAGACTTTTCAACTCCTAAGTATCTCGTGAAGCTGCCTTCTCTGTGGTCCCAGTCACCCCCACCTCATGTCTGGATCAGTGGAGCAGCCCCCCGCCTCTCCTTGGCCTCTCTCCACTCTAGCCCATTCTCTACATACCAGCAGGACTTGCTTTGTTTTGATTTATTTTATTTTATTTTATTTGGAGACAGCATCTCACTCCAAGGCCCAGGCTGGAGTGCAGTGGTGTGATGTCAGCTGACTGCAAACTCCGCCTCCCAGGTTCAAGCAATTTTCCTGCCTCAGCCTCCCAAGTGGCTGGGATTATAGGCATGTACCACCACACCTGTCTAATTTTTGTATTTTTAGTAGAGACAGGGTTGTACCTTGTGGCCAGACTGTTCTCAAACTCCTGACCTCAAGTGATCCACCCGCCTCGGCCTCCCAAAGTGCTGGGATTACAGGCGTGAGCCACCGCGCCCAGCCGTTAACTCATTTTTTAATTTGGTTTTGCCTTTCCTACCTGAAAGGGAAGCTCCTTCTGAGCATGTACTCATTCTTGTTCACTGGTCTATTTCCCTTTATTAATTTGTTCATTCAGCAAATATTTATTGAGTGTTTACTATTTTGTCATATATTTTCAAGGCACTGTAGAGATCCCAATGAAGAAATAGACAAAAAGTTTGTATAGTACTCACATGAAACTTAGATTCCAGTGGACAGTAAAAGAAAACTGTTTCTCTCTCTCTTTTTTTTTTTTTTTGTTTGAGATGGAGTCCTGATCTGCCGCCCAGGCTGGAGTGCAGTCCCACAATCTTGGCTCACTCTAGCCTTCATCCCCTGGGTTCAAGCAATTCTCATGCCTCAGCCTCCCAAATAGCTGGGACTACAAAGGCGTACGCCAACATGCCCAGCTAATTTTTGTATTTTTAGTAGAGACAGGGTTTCGCCATGTTGGCCAGGCTGGTCTCAAACTCCTGACCTCAAGTTATTGCCTGCCTCAGCCTCCCAGAGTGCTGAGATTATAGGCGTGAGCCACCGCTCCTGGCCGAAAAACTGTTTGTCTACTCCCAACATTTCTGACACTAAATGTGTGGGATTCTACCTCCTGACCCCATACCAACCGATTCTCCAACTCTCCCAGAGACCAGTTGAGTGTCCTATAATTCATTCAATTCTAAAATAAACAACCCAGGGTTAGCGTCACACTACACAAGCTTTGAGAGCTCAGGCCCACGAGACTGACCCCACTTCAGACACCAGTCGCTCGTCCGGGGCTCCTGCAACCTGCAGCCCCCCAGCTCAGTAATTCGCTGGAATAGCTCGAATAACTCGGGGAAACGTACGTGTTTATTATGAAGGAGAGTATGAAGGAAATAGGTTAATAGCCAGATGAAGAGGTAGATAGGGATAGGGTGAGGTCCAGAAGGGTCCCAAGTGCAGAAGTTTCTGTCTCCATGGGAGTTGGGATGCAGCAGCCTATCAGTGCGTGGATGCATTCACCAGCCTGGAAGCTCTGCAAACCCCATATTTTAGGGATTGTTCTGGAGGCTACGTCATGTAGTCGTGATCACTTATTAACTCAGTCTCCACCCCTTTTTCCCTCTCCAAGGACTGGAGGGGGCGGGTGAGGCCGAAAGCTCTTAAGCTCCCAATCATGGCCTAGTCTCACTTTGTGACCAGTGCCCATCCAGGAGACCACCAAGAGTCACTTGAGCAGAACAAACGATGCTGCTCTCACCCAGGAAATTCAAGAGATTAGGAGCTCTATGTAAGACGCTTCTGTTGCCTACATCACTCCAGAAATTACGAGGGTTTAAGACTGTCAGAAACCAGGGACAGACACCAAGTATGTATTTCTTACGTCACAGACAATAAATAAGACAACAAAATACGAAATTATATGGTAACGTGTGATGGAGAAGATAAGCAGAGAAACGGAATATGGGGCTGGGGGAAGTAGCAGTAGGATCTTTGGAGAAGCCCTCACTGAGAAAGTGACATTTGAATAAAAACTGGAAGGGGATGACTGTATGAGCCATTATGTATATTTGTGTGAAGAGTGTTCTGGTGGCCAGGCGAGGTGACTCATGCCTGTAATCCCAACATTTTGGAAGGCTTAGGCGGGTGGATCACCTGAGGTCAGGAGTTTGAGACCACTCTGGCCAACATGGTGAAACCCTGTCTCTACTAAAAATACAAAAATTAGCCTGGCGTGCTAGCACATGCCTGTAATCCCAGCTACTCAGGAGGCTGAAGCACGAGAATCGCTTGAATCCGGGAGGCGGAAGTTACAGTGAGCCCTGAGGCAGGAGTGCCAGGCACGTGGGAAGACAGCCGGGAGGACATCCAGGAGGCCAATGTAGCTGGAGCAGTGCCTTAGGAAGTGAATACACAGTGAAGTCAGAGACCATGGGGACCAGATGGTGCCACTGGCTGCTGTAAAGTCTAGACTTACCTCTGTAAGAGATGAGGGTCAGCTGAGTGTGGTGGCTTACACCTGTAATCCCAGCACTTTGGGGGACTGAGGCTTGAGCTTGAGAGGTCAAGGCGCAGTGAGCCATGACTACATCACTGCAGTCCAACCTGGGCTACAAAGTGAGACCCTGACTCAGAAGGAAAAAAAAAGGGCAAGGTGCAGTGGCTCGCGCCTGTAATCCCAGCACTTTGGAAGGCTGAGGCAGGCGGGTCACTTGAGGGCAGGAGTTCGAGACCAGCCTGGCCAATGTGGTGAAACCCTGTCTCTCCTAAAAATAAAAAGTTACCCAAGCGTGGTAGCGGGCGCCTGTAATCCCAGCTACTTGGGAGGCTGAGGCAGGAGAATAGCTTGAACTCGGGAGGCGGAGCTTGCAGTGAGCCGAGATCGCGCCATTGCACTCCAGCCTGGGCAAAAAGAGTGAAACTCCCATCTCAAAAAAAAAAAGAGATGACGTGAGCCATGACTGCACCACTGCAGTCCAACCTGGGCTACAGAGCAAGACCCTGTCACCAAAAAAAAAAAAAAAAGAAAGAAAAAAAGATGAGAGTCACGGGTGGCTTTTGAGCCAAGCAAAGGCAGGTCATAATTTGATTTCCATGGCTACTATGTGTTACTGGGGCATAACACATAGAACTGGGGCAAGGTGGAAGCTGGCATCGCTGAGAGGTGCTGCAGTAATCCAGGGACGAGATGCGGCCCCGGCAAACAAGGTGGTGGGGAGCAGTGGTTTTAGATATATCTTGAAGGTAGAACCAGTGGGATTTGCTGATGGTTCAGAATGTTGGATGAAAGGAGAGAGGCCAAGAATAACCATGGTGGCACTATCTAGTAGAACCCTGTGCCATGCTGGAAATATTCTAGATCTGCACTGTCCAGTAGCGCAGCACCAACCACATGTGGCCGTGAAGCACATGAAGGTGACCTGTGCAACTGAGGAACTGAACTCATAATCTTAGGTAGCTCTTCAGGCAAGAAAGGGTGTCAAAAAAAAAAAAAAAGAAAAGAAAAAAATCAACTCTGGTAGCTTTAATTACGTTAACGTTACATAGTTCCTGCTCTTTGACAACAGAATCGTAGAGGCCTGTGTGAGTATTCTTCCCTGTGGATCACTCTGAACTCTTGTTTATTTGACTAAGAGCTCCTTGAAGGCAAGCTTCTTAATTGTTTCTATACTTGCAAACTAGGCAGAGTGTGAGGCATTCAATAGGTACTTGGTGAATGTTTTGGTGACTGATGAATCAAGGAATGCATGAACGGGAAAAAATTGTTTAGACTTCCATGTGGTAGTGGCTAGTGATGGACAGTTACAGCTCTAGCAGTTTTTGGCCTGAGCAGCTGGGAGGATGAAGTTCTGTTTACTGAGACAGAGAGACTGTTGGAGGAGCAGGTTTCGTGGGGATTAGCAGGGAGGAAGGGGAGAAGATATTAGGAATCTGGATTGAGATGCCTACAAGGAGCATGAATGAAGTATTCAGAGCCATTAACACTGGAGGCACAAGGGAAGTGGGTATAGATGGATAAGAGACGAGGATGAGAGGATCCAGGAAAGAAAACAAGGTGGAGGAAAGCAGGGTAACTGTGGCTTTCTGAAAGCCAAGTAGCTGTGCACGGTGGCTCACGCCTGTAATCCCAGCACTTTTGGGAAGCTGAGGTGGGTGGATCACTTGAGGTCACAAGTTTGAGACCAGCCTGGCCAACATGGTGAAACCTGTCTGTACTAAAAATACAAAAATCAGCTGTATGTGGTGGCACATGCCTGTAGTACCAGCTACTTGGGAGGCTGAGGTAGGAGAATTGCTTGAACCTGAGAGGTAGAGGTTGCAGTGAACTGAGTTCACGCCACTGCACTCCAGCCTGGGCAACAGAGCAAGACTCCATCTCAAAAAAGAAAAAAGGGAAGTCAAGTAAAGAGTTTCAAGAAGGAGTGACCAACTGTGCCAGACACAGCCAAATCATGAAATAGGGCTGAGAATTGGCTATTGGCTTTAGCGACGTGGATATCATTGATGAACTTGGCAAAAGCAGTTTCTATGGAGAACTAGAGGAAAGCCTGACCATCTAATTGGCGTGGGTTTAAGAGTTAATGAAAATCAACATCATTAGTCATTACGGCGGTGCAAGTCAAAGCCACAATGAAATGCTACTTCACACCTGCGAGGAAGGCTGTCATAAAAAAAGTCGGGTAATACAAAATGTAGCAAGGCCGTAGAGAAATTAGAACCCTCATACATTGTTGGCGGGAATGTAAATGGTACAGTCCCTGTGCAAAACAGTCTGGCAGTTCCTCAAAAAAATTAAACACAGAATTAACATAGGACCCAGCAATTCCATTTCTAAGTATACACCCAAGAAAATTAAAAAGCTGTGCCCACACCAAAACTTGCACATGAATGTTCATAGTAGCATCATTCATACAGCCAAGAGGTGGAGACATCCCAAATAGCCATCAACTGATAAATGCATAAACACAATGCAATATAGCCATACTGCAGAATATTATTTGGCCATAAAAAAGGAATGAATCAGTGATACATGCAACAACATGGATGAACCTTGATATGCTAAATGAAAGAAGTCACAAAAAAAAGCACATACTGTAGGATTCCATTTATATGAAATAGTCAGAATAGGTAAATCTATAAAGAGAAAGCAGATGAGCAGCTATCCAGGTCTTAGGGGGATAAAGGGGTGAGAAAGGAGAAGTGAGCTGCCAGTGGGGATGGGGTTCCTTTTGTGGGGTGATGAAAATGTTCTAAAATTAGATTATGGTAGTGGCTGTGCAAACTTGTAAACTTACTAAAAACCATTGGGTTGTACCCTTTTTTTTTGAGATGGAGACTCATTCTGTCACCTAGGCAGGAGTGCAGTGGCATGATCTCACCTCACTGCAACCTCTGCCTCCCAGGTTCAAGTGATTGTCCTGCCTTAGCCTCCTGAGTAGCTGGGGTTACAGGCACATGCCACCATGCCTGGCTAAATTTTTTTGTATTTTTAGTAGAGATGGGGCTTCACCATGTTGGCCATGCTGGTGTCGAACTCGTGACCTCAAGTGATCTGCCCACCTCGGCCTCCCAAAGTGCTGGGATTACAGGCGTGAGCCACCATGCCCGGCCGAATTGTACACTTTGAACGAGTGAACTCTGTGCGAGAGAAATTGGAGACAAATATGGACAACGCTCTCAAGGAAATTTGCTATTAACAGAAATAGATATGGAACAGTTGTTTATGGGGAAACTGAGGTCAAGAGAGGGAGTCTTAAAAATGGGAGAGTAACAATATGTTCGGATGCTGATGGGAAAGGCTCCGAAGGGAAAGGAGAATTGACGGAGGATCAGGTGGAAGGAACTGCTGGAGTGAAGTCTTCGAGCAGACAAAGAGGACATAGGGTCTGGTGCCCTGATGGAAGAGGTTGGCATTGGCTTGGAGCACAGACAGGTCACCCTCAGCAACAGCAAGAAGGTGGAGTGTATGCACACAGGGGCAAGTGAGTGGGAAGACGTGGAGATGAGGACTCCAGCAAAAGTTTTCTCTTTTAACCCCTATTTTCTCAGCGAGATAGGAAGTCAGCTAAGAGGCTGGGGGAGGAGGTGCTGGAGGTTTGAAGAGAAAAGGGATGTGTTACCCTTCTGAGTAGACGGACCAGAGATAAAAGCATCATCTGCAGTACCTGACAGTGTGCTGCAGGTGGCAGGTGCTTCGTAAGAACCCGTGAATGAGTTGAGTAACCCTCACACCAACCCTGCCCCATGGGATTAATAATCCCTGTTTTCAAAAGAGGGAACCCCTGGTTCCAAGGAAGGAGAGTGTCTTGTCCAGGTTCAAACGGCTAGCACCCAGCACTGAGCCCAGCGTCTCCAGTTCTCAATCATCCAGTCCCCTTAGTTCTCAAAAAAGGAGGAGACTCAGGGAAAATAAATAAAATTCTTTATTACATCCTGATCACACAGTAGAAATGGAGATTAAATAAGAACGAGGAGAAAGCAGGACCCTTTCCCCTCCGCTCCTCAAATCCCACACCCTGACCAATAAATACCCCTCCCTAGAGACCCAGAAGTCCCAGTCCCAATATAGTCCAGACTGAAGAATCTTGGGCTGCTGACCCCCTCGTTTTGCAGAGGAGGGAAACTGAGGCCCAGAGAACCACCCAGCAAGTTCGTGGCTCAGGGGCCCTGCAGGTCTCCTCTGGCCTCCCCTGAAGACCCTCGAGGCGGCATCCGCGTGGCTGGAACTCACACCTGGACACGGTAGCCCCCGGTCCGCCGCCGGCAAAGCCTCCGCACGCCCACCCAGTACAGCGTCAACATGACTACCCAGTAGCCCACGTAGGCGCCGGCCCCCGCGGCTAAGTGGTAGGCCTCCGCTGCGCGGGAAGGGCCGCTCCAGTCGGCCCTGGCCTCGTGTGCCACACTGCGGACCAGGCCCCCAAGCAGCAGCAGCGCCCAGAGCGCCAGGGGCAGCAGCGGGACGTAATTAGCGGCCAGCTTCCGCCGGCCCGAGGTGCCCCAGCCACTCTGGTTCATGGTGACCAGCGCCAGGAACTTGGCGGGCAGGAGGCCACACATGTAGAGGGGCGCGTAGAGCGACAGCAGCACCATACGCAGGCAGCCCCGCAGCCAGGCCGCGAAGGCCGCCTTGGCCAGTGCCACGCCCTGCACGCATAGCAGCACCCACAGCAGCGCCCACGGGCGGCCCGCATAAAACAGACGCAGCACCGTGGCCGCCACGAAGAAGGGGAACAGGCCCGAGACCACCGCCTCATAGGTCATCCAGGCGTGATGCCGGTGCCACCAGAGCGCGTTGTACAGCCATTCACGGAAGTACGACTTGGACCAGCGAGTCTGCTGACTCAGCCAGCGCAGGAAGGACGAGGGTGTCTCTGAGTAGCAGCGAGACCTGGAGGTGTACCTGCATGGGCGCGAGGAATAAGGACATCATCGCATGCTCCCTGGGGCCTGGGCAGGATTCTGGAGGCAGAAGTGACCACTGTGGATGGCCACTGGGGGCGAGTTTCTTAATCTCTCTAGGCCTCAGCATTCTCATGTGTAGAGTAGGGTTGATAGGCCGGGCAGGGTGACTCACGCCTGTAATCCCAGCACTTTGGGAGGCTGAGGCATAAGGAGTTCAAGACCAGCCTGGGCAACATAACAAGACCCCATCTCTACTAAATAAACAAATAAATAAATAAGCACCAATGGGCAGGATGCAATGGCTCATGCCTGTAATCCCAGCACTTTGGGAGGCTGAGGTGGGGGGATCACTTGAGGCTAAGAGTTCGAGACCAGCCTAGGCAACATAGTGAGACCCCATCTCTAACAAAAAAAAAATAGCCAGGTGTGGTGATGTGTGCCTGCAGTCCCAGCTATTTTGCAGGCTGAGATGGGAGAATCACTTGAGCTCAGGAGTTTGAGGCTGCGGTGAGCTGTGATCATGCCCCTGCACTCCAGCCTGAGCCTGAGCAACACAGAAAGACTCATTTTTTTTTTTTTAAGATGGAATCTCGTTCTTGTTGCCCAGGCTGGAGTGCAATGGCACAATTTCAGCTCGCTGCAACCTCCGCCTCCTGGGTTCAAGTGATGATTTTCCTGCCTCAGCCTCCAGAGTAGGTGGGATTACAGGTGCCCGACACCACGCCCAGCTAATTTTTTGTATTTTCAGTAGAGACGGGGTTTCACTATGTTGGCCAGGCTGGGCTCGAACTCCTGACCTCAGGTGATACACCCGCCTCAGCCTCCCAAAGTGCTGGGATTATAGGCATGAGCCACCGCGTCCAGCCTAAGAGTCCATCTGAAAAAAAAAGGTTCTCATATGACAAGGATACTGTGAGGATTAAATGAAGATTAAACGCCAAGTGCTTAGGACCAGTAGCTAGTATTTGCTCAATAAATGTTAGTTACTACTATTTTTACTGTGACTAATACCATTACTATTGCCGTTACTAATATCATGTTGGTTACTGACACTATTACTAATACTATCACTAACATATTACTAATACTGTCATGCTTACTATTACTGGCAGTCCCTATAGTGAGGAGCAAGATGGGTGTGGTCGCTACCCAGGGTAGTCTATGTATTGGAACTTCTCAAGGGAACCATCAGGCCTCCTTCCTGTTTTGTGGCAGACATCATTAATCAATCCCTGCACAGGTTCCAGCCAAGCCCACACAAGACTAGAATCATGGGCATTACTTGACAGTGTCCAGTCTCCTTCCCCTGTGTCACTTGGCATCCTCAGTGGCCTCCCTGCTTCCGACCTTGCCTTCTGCAGTCTGTATCCAAAACAGCTGCCAGAGGGATCCCATTACAACGTGTCACTTCTCTGCTTAAAACCCTCCCATGGCTCCCTCATCTTAGTCAGAGTCCTTAGACCTATAAGCCTTTCATGAGTGGACCCCTTGTTGACTCTCCATCCTCCTCTCCTAATACTCCCTCAGTTCCATGCTCCAGCCACACTGTTCTCAGCCTTGAGCCCCATCCTACTTCAGGCACTCCACTTAACACTTCACTCCCCACCCCAAAACTTCCTATCCATCCCCCTGCCCGGCATTATTTATCTCCATAACACATATCATGAACATACTGTATGTTCTGCTTATTTACTTCTTGTGTGTCTCCCCTACTGATGTAATCAATTGGTGTCCTGTCTGCCTATTGCTGTATCCCCGCAGCTTAAACATTCTAGGCACCTAGTGAATATTTGTTGAGTGAATTAATGCATGGATTCCCTTGGATTATCCCAAGTTCCCTCTGGGTCTTTCAGTGGACCTGACTTGGCAGAAATCACTCTTCCCTGAACTTCACTTGGTCTAGATCATCCTCCCCTGAGTCTCATGGAATTACTTGTCTTCTCTTGAAGAACTTGCTAGAGTTCGGGTGCTCCTCTTCTCTCACTTGATTCTTTCTCCACAGCTCTCTCACTAGTTAGATCCCACTCTATCCATTTGTCTCTTGCCCTTCCTACTTCACTCCCCACTGTGCTACCTTAGTCTCCATGGGAGAACCAACTCACCCTAACTCAATTCTAGGTGGAATTCTCTACCCTCACCTTGCCTCTCTTGGTAGAGTTCACTGCATTCCATGGTTCAATGCAAATGCCAGCCCTGTCCCTTATAGTATCTTCCCCTCTCCCCTAATATCTCACTTGGTAGAGTCCATTGGCTCAATGCAAATGGCCCCTCTGCCCATTATGGTATCTTCCTCTCTCCTCTAAAGTCTCACTTGATAGAGCCCATGGTCTGGTGAGTTACTTTGGATTTGAAGAACTCTCAGCATGCACACACGCTGGGATACTCATTGGCCTCCACACATACCCGACCACCTGGTCCCCTCAGCTTACTTGGTAGCATAACCCATGCTGAGCATGCGGTTGGTGAGGTGCCGGTCGTCCCCAAAAGTACAGTGAGTTCCCAGGAACTTCTGGTTGTACCAGGCCTCAAGAAACTGCTGCAAGAGGTTGTTCCTATATAGGCCTGGGTGAGGGGAGGTGTGAAAGAGTCAGTCTCTGCTGTCACCAACATCAACTCCAATGCTGTTTCCAGCCCCAACCCCATCTCCAGTTCCAACCCCATCCTCAGTCATCATAATCTCAATCTCAGCACTATCTCTAATCCCAACTCCAGCCCCAATCCTGTCCTCAACCTCATATCCACTCCAACTTCCCTGTCATTGAACTATACCCACTGTGACTGCAAACCTGCCCATCCCAGTCTCATCACCAATCCCATATCCATTCTCAGCCCCATCCAAAACCTACTGCAACCTCAAACCTGGCTCCAACTCTGTCTTTGACTCCAAGCTTATCCCATCTTTTTCCCCAGGCCCAGCCCCAATCCCCATCCATATCCTTTCTCCAAACTCACTCCCCACACCAAACTCAGCTCGAACCCAAATAGCATCCTCACCGCCAACTTCCAGTTTTACCCCATCCCCAGTTCCTGCCCTGCTGCATCTTTGTCCCCAACCCCAGTCACATCCTCAGCCCCATCCAGCTTCCCTTCTCCCTTTCCACCCCATCCACGGCCCTCCCAATCTCTGCCGCTGCTTACCTAGAGGACCGCTGATGCAGGACACACAGTGGAAGTAGCTCTGACAAGCCCGCTCCACATTGAAGGCTACCCAGTATCGCAGGCTGCTTAGGAAGCTGACCCAGGAGTCCAGAGGGTTAAGGATCCGCACGTCCCCACCAACAGCCCCTACCCGGGGGTCCTCATCCAGGACCCGCACGAGCTCCAGCAGTGCCATGGGGTCCAACCTTGTGTCCGAGTCACAGACCTGTGAGGTGGAAGGGGACAGGATCAGCACAGACCCCTGCATCGGACTGATGTTTGAGAGGAGGGCACCAAGGGGTTCAATGCAGCTGGGGCACTCTGCAACCGATCTGAATGCAATTTTGAGATTTTTTTAGTCATTTTCAATGTGCAATCACAGTTTAACATGTACTCCAAGATGCACATCCTTGTATGAACATGAACAATGAGACATATACCATCTCCTCTGGTGTGTGAGTGAGACCTCGACTTGCTACTAAGCAATAGAATATGGCAGAAGTTATGGGATATAACTGCCATGATCATATTACCTAATATGGAAATGGTGAATAGGTTTTGCAATGTAATTAAGTCCCCAAATCTCTTGACTATAAGTTAATCAAAAGGAGATTATCCTGGGTGGGCCTGACCTAATCAGGAACACCCTTTAAAAGCAGATCTAGATGTCAGAGGGTTCCTTGCTGGCCTTGAAGAGGCAAGCTACTGCTACCATGAGTTCTGTGGCTGCAAGAAAATGAATTCTGCCAACGAACAAATGCATAAGCTTGAAAGATAACCCCAAGGCTTAAAAAAGACCCAGCTCTAGCTAATACCCTGATTGCAACCAGCTCCAGCTGATACCCTGATTGCAACCTGGTGATATCCTGAAAAAAAGGACCCAGCTGAGCTGTGCTGACTCTTGATTCATAGGAACTATGAGGTAATAAATGTGTTTTGTTCAAGTTGCCAAACATATGGTAACTTGTTATGCAGCAATGGAAAACTAATATAAAGCATTAGAATTGCTACACCAGGCCGGCTGTGGTGGCTCATGCCTGTAATCCCAGCACTTTGGGAGGACGAAGTGGGCAGATAACCTGAGGTCAGGAGTTTGAGACCAGCCTAGCCAACATGGTGAAACCGTGTCTCTACAAAAATACAAGAATTAGCTGGGCATGATGGCAGATGCCTGTATACCAGCTACTGGGGAGGCTGAGGTGGGAGAATCACTTGAACCCAGGAGGCAGAGGTTGCAGTGAACCGAGATTGAACCATTGCACTCCAGCCTGGGCAACAGAGTGAGACTCCATCTCAAAAGATTGCTACACCAAATGGGATGGATGAATGAGTACATAAATGAAATTAATCTGAATATCGAATACATAGATAGATGGCTGAATGGATGAACAAAAGAATCTCAACACTGAAGGAGGGGAAAGGAAGGAGGGAAGAAGGAAAGAAGAAAGGGAAATCTCCACATTTAATAGATAAATGAATGAATAAATGAGCGAATGATCTCCATATTGGATGGATAGATGGGTGTATGAATGAGTGAGTGAAGAAAATAATTTCTACACTGAATGAAGTAAGGAAGAACTTTTATTTATTTATTTAAGATGGAGTTTTGCTCTTGTTGCCCAGGCTGGAGTGCAATGGTGTGATCTCGGCTCACCGCAACTTCCACCTCCCAGGTTCAAACAATTCTCCTGCCTCAGCCTCCCAAGTAGCTGGGATTACAAGCATGCACCACCACGCCAGGCTAATTTTGTATTTTTAGTAGAGACAGGGTTTCCCCATGTTGGTCAGGCTGCTCTTGAACTCCCAACCTCAGATCAGCTTCCCAAAGTGCTGGGATTACAGGCGTGAGCCACCACGCCTGGCCAGGAAGGACTTAATTCTATATTGAATGGATGGAAATGTGGATAGATGGATGGATGCGTGAATGAATCTCTGTATTGAATGAGTGGATAAATGAATGGAGGAGTGAATGAATGCGTGAAATTAAGTATCTGCCTCCAATGGGTGGATAAACAAAGGAAGAAATGACTCTATACTGAATGTATAAATGAATGAAGGAATGAATATTCTCCATATTGGATGGGTAGGTGGATGGATGACTGAATGAGTGAAGAAGAGTGTCTACACTGAATGAAGAAAGGAAGGATTTAGTTTATTTTTTTAGATGGAGTCTCGTTCTTGTCGTCCAGGCTGGCGTGCAATGGCACGATCTCGGCTCACTGCAAGCTCCACCTCCCAGTTCAAGAGATTCTCCTGCCTCAGCCTCCCGAGTAGCTGGGATTACAGGCACTCACCACCACGCCCAGTTAATTTTTGTATTTTTAGTAGAGACAGGGTTTCACCATGTTGGCCAAGCTAGTCTAGAACTCCTGACCTCAGGTGATCCGCCCACCTCAGCCTCCCAAAGTGCCCGGCTGGAAGGACTTAATTTTACACTGAATGGATGGATAACTGAATCATTGGATGAATGGATGAATGAACGAATGAATCTGTTGAATGGATGGATACATGAATGGATGAGTCAAGAATGTGTGAAATTGTGTCTTCCTGGAATGCGTAGGTGAATGAAGAAAGGAAAGAATGCCTTTACATTGAATGGGTAAATGAATGAAGAAATGAACGAATGATCTCCATATTGGATAAAGGGATAGATGGACGGATGGATGGATGGATGAGTGAAGGAAAGAATCTCTCCACTGCATAGATGAATGAATAAAGAAAGGGAGAGAGTCATTCAAATCTGTACACTGAAGGAAAGACCCCAGGAAAGTGGGATCCGGGTGTTCGAGTCACGAGTGGGCTGAGGGCGCCTCTACTCACCTGCACGTAGTCCACCGAGTCTCCGAGCGCCTTGAAGGCCGTGTACATGACCTCGCGCTTGCCGCCCCAGCGCTGCGCCACGCACACGCACCTGCGAGTCCTCACCAGCGCCTCCACCGCCAGCCGCCCGGGATCCTCCGCCTCCACCTCCCGGTAGGCTCCGGCGCCCACTGCGCCCGCCGCCGCGGGTTCCCAAGGCTGGTGGTAGTTGCCGTCCCACACGTATGTGGCGGGGTCCTCGTCGGCGAAGACCTCGCGGAACATGTCTACCATGTAGAGGTCCTCGGGGCGGTTGCCGTCCACCACCATGAGGACGCGCAGCCGCGCGCGCGGGTACAGCAGGGCGCGGGCGGACACCAGGCACTGGCGCAGGTACGCGGGGTCCTCCTGGTAGGCGGAAATGGTCAGCGCCACGCTGCGCGCCGTGGCTGCATCCAGGCACCCTCGCGCCGCTGCGCGCCGCGCCGCCGCCGCCACCCGCCGATGCTCCAGGTACGCAAAGAGGCTCTGCGCCAACAGGTGCGCCGAGAGGAAGGCCCCGTAGAGGCCGAAGGCCAGGAGGCCGTAGCGATCGGAGGCCAGCGGCACCCCGGCGGCGTAGGCCCAGGTCATGAGGCCCAGGATGAGCAGGGCGAAGGCGATGGTCAGCACCCTCCGGGCCAGGCCGGAGCAGCGGCGGGCTGCAGGAGTGGGCTTGGGCGCGTCCTGCTGGGAGCCAGAGTGGAAAGGAAGGGGCATGAGTCCCGAGGGCCTCCTCTGAGAGAAGATTACAAAATCCCTTCCTTGCTTCTCTCCTTCCTTTTCCCTTCCCCTCCCCTCCCTTCCCCTTCCCCTTCCTCCCTCTCTCCCTTCCTCCTTCCTTCTCTTTTTCTCTCTCTCTGTCTCTCTCTCTCTCTTTCTCTCTCTCTGTCTCTTGCTCTCGCTCTCCCTTTCTCTCTCTCTCCTTTTGTGTTTTTTTTTTTTTTTCTTTTCATTCCAGCCTAGTGGCACAGTCTGGGCCTACTGCAGCCTCAGGTTCCCAAACTCAGGCTCAGCCTCCTACCTCAGCCTCCCTAATAGCTGGGACTACAAAGCATGTGCCACAACTCCTGGCTAATTTTTAAATTTTTGGTAGACACGGGGGTCTCCCTACGTTACCTAGGCTGGTCTGGAACCCCTGGGCTCAAGTGACATGGCTGCCCCGGCCTCCCTAAGTGCTGGGATTACAGGGATGAGCTACCTCGCCGGACCCAGAATCATTTTCATTAACGAAAATAATTGGGGCAAATAGCTATCTAGGCTTCATGCTGATTAGATTCCTTCTTTTCATTATTATTTATTTATTTTTATAGACAGCGTCTTGTTCTGTCGCCCAGGCTGGGGTGCAGTGGCAGCATCACAGCTCACTGTAGCTTCTAACTTCTAGGCTCTGGTGATCCTCTCACCTCAGCCTCCCAAGTAGCTAGGACCACAAGGCTGGAGTCACAATGCCTTACTAATTTAAAAAAAAAAAAAATTTAGAGGAGGAGTCACTATGCTGCCCAGGCCCCAGTCTCCCAAAGTACTACGAATACAGGCATGAGCCACCAAGCCCAGCCTGATTTTGTTCCTTCCAATACAATTTTTTTCCACGTTTTGAAATCTCTTAAATCCGTGAGGATGATTGCATGCAATGGAGTGTCACAATTTAATTACCAGGGTGTTTCCCTCCTCTTTCTTAGTGGCACATACAATGAGGATTTATCTCCCAATCAAAGGTTTCTTAGGGTTGAGACAGTAATAATAATAACATGTACTAAAAAACCAAAATGCTATGTACCAGTCCCTGCTCTAAGTCTTTAAGATAAATGAATTTATTTTAATCCTTACAACAGCGCTATAAGGTAGGTACTGTTGTTATTATTATTATTATTATTATTATTTTTTTTTTTTTTGAGGCGGAGTCTTGCTCTGCCGCCCAGGCTGGAGTGCAGTGGCCGGATCTCAGCTCACTGCAAGCTCCGCCTCCCGGGTTCACGCCATTCTCCTGCCTCGAGACTCCCGAGTAGCTGGGACTACAGGCGCCTGCCACCTCGCCCGGCTAGATTTTTGTATTTTTTAGTAGAGACGGGGTTTCACCGGGTTAGCCAGGATGGTCTTGATCTCCTGACCTCGTGATCCGCCCGTCTCGGCCTCCCAAAGTGCTGGGATTACAGGCTTGAGCCACCGCGCCCGGCCGGTAGGTACTGTTATTATTATCCCCATTCTACAGATGAGGCAGCTGAGTCACACAGAGGTTCAGCATCCTGCCCAAGGTCATCCCTGGAAAGCAGAGGAGCCTGGATTTGAACCTTAGGAATTGAATCGCTAAACCTCAACCTTTAGCCCTCGGGAGAGCCCTGGGGGACAGATAGTGCTCGCTGCCACCATACAGGTGGCCAAACTGAGGACTGACGGCCAGAAGGAGTGACTTGCATAGGGTCAGCAGCCCACAGTGGAGGACTCTTCTTTCTGACTTTCCAGAGGCATAGCCTCGTTCTGTTTTTCCACTGCCCAGCTCCCCAGCAGAACAGGTGCCCCAGTAAATGTTGCTGGAAGAGCCCAGAATCAGAGGAAAGAGTACTTTCCGTGTGCCAGACACTACTGTACAGCAACCTTTATATATATATATATAGTTTTTTAAAATTGAGACAGGGGGCCAGACACTGTGGCTCACACCTGTAATCCCAGCAGTTTGGGAGGCTGAGGCAGGTGGATCACCTGAGGTCAGGAGTTCAAGATTAGCCTGGCTAACATGGTGAAACCAAAATACAAAAATTAGCCAGGCTTGGTGGCGCATGACTGTAGTCCCAGCTACTCAGGAGGCTAAGGCAGGAGAATTGCTTGAACCCCTGAGGTGGAGGTTACAGTGAGCCAAGACGGCACCACTGCACTTCAGCCTGGGTGACAGTGTAAGACTACATCTCAAAATAATAATAATAATAATAATAATAATAATAATAATAATTGAGACAGGATCTTGCTGTGTTGCTCAGGCTGGTCTTGAACTCCCAGGCTCAAGCGATCCTCCTGCCTTGGCCCCCTAAAGTGCTGGGATTATAGGCGTGAGCTACTGCACCCGGTCTCTACAACAACCTTATAGAGCAGGTACCTCTACTGTCTTCTGTTATAGATGAGGAAACTGAGACACTGAGAGGCAAATACTTTTACCCAAGGTCACTCAGGTAATAAGCAGTGTTAGAAATAAAACTCAGGCAGTCTGGCTCTGGCATCCTCTCTACGCTAAACTGCCTCCTACGCCACCTCATAGGCTTACTGTGGGTTATTTAAATGCATCATTAAGATATAGATCTTTGTGTCCAATACAGGTGTCACCAGCTACATGTATCTACCAAGCAGTTGAAATGCAGCCAGTATCACCGAGGAACTGAGTTTAAAATTTTATTTTAATTTTAATTCATTTAAATTTTAAAAACTCTTACTTGATTCAGTTATTAGAAAACTTTTAAATATGTTTGGAACAAGTTGCATCTATGATGCTCCTTTTGTAACTGTAAATTTTATAAAATCTAAACACAGATTAGGTATTTCCAATGAAAAGGTAGCATCTAAGTGAGAAGCGCAATAAACACACTGGATTTTGAAGCCCAAGTCTGGGGAAAAGAAAGTGAAATAGCTCATTAACATTTATGTATTGATTACATATTGAAATTATCATATCTCATACGTAGCAGGGGTCAGCATGCTAAGACCTGCTACAGCCTGCAGGCTAAGAATTTTTTTTTGATATTTTTAGATGGTTTTTAAAAGCCAAAAGAAGAATAATAGTTTGTGGAGCATGAAAAATATGAAATTCAAATTTCAGTGTCCTTAAAGGAAGCTTTATTTGCACACAACCACATTCATTGGTTTATACATCATCTGTGGCTGATTCTACATTTACAACATGGAAGTTGAGTACTTTCAAAAGAGACCAGATGACCCCCCAAGAGCCTCAAATATTTAATATTGGGCCCTTTATCAAAAAAAATGTGCTGGCCCCTGACACACTGGGTTAAATAAAAATACATTATTAAAATTAACTTCACCTGTTTGTTTTTACTTTTTGAAATGTGGCCACAGGAACGTTTTAAATTAGATATTGTGGTTTTTGTTACATTTCTAGAGGACAAAGCTGAGGTACAGCTTTTAAACTCTCAACATTAAACATTATTCTTTCTTCTCGAATCCCCCTTGTCTCTTCCCTTGCCTCAAACCTGGCCTTGCCTGAGTTCCTAAGGATGGCCCAATTCATGCTAGGGATCCAGAGAGCTGATTCTAGAAACACAGATGAACACACGTGTAGACACACCCCCCCACACGTGATGAGTGACACACAGAATGAAATTACTCGTGTTCTACAGGATGACCCCAGACACCCACTCAGGCCAAACAAGCGACCCCGTGACCCCCACTGACAGCCACACAGGTGAACCTGCAGACACACACCCCTCGGCAGGGAAAAGCAACACCAGCAAGGGGATGCCCACGTGGCCACAAGCACACAGAGCCCCAACTGAGAGTCTGGGGCAATGGGACACACAGGGAAGATTTCAAGGGAAATCTTGACAGGTGACTGTCAAGCTGATACTGAACCAGATGAAATTGCTGTTCTTCCAAGTTTAGAGTGGCTCAGTATCGGTGATTTCATTTGGTTCAACTTAATAGCTATTGAACGCATGAAACAGAAATCCATTCCCACGTGCCACAGGCAAATCCAACTCTCTTTCTTACTCAGTCTCTTTCACTTGCTCACTTACTGTCTCACTCCCTCTTTCTGTCTGCCTCCCAGGGAACATAGACATACACAAATTTATAGCAAGATACACAGATACAGAAATACAGACATGGCACATCTCACCTACATGTACTTGGGATGGCCGCCCACACAGGGCAATGTATACACAGACCTGCACACTCAGCCTCACATGCTCACTGTCCCCTACACACATATGGTCACTGTCACGCACATGGATACACACATGAAATCATGCGCACACAGTTCCCCAAAACTCGTGGTCACACATATGGCAGTAGTTTCCCCCACATGACTGTACACACACACACACACACACACACACACACACACACACAACCTGTGTCATCGCAGTGGGTCTGGCCGGGCACTCTCTTCTCTCCTGCTTGCTCTCCCAGCCTCTCTGTGGCCAGAGAGCTGCAGGGGGGTCATTTGAAGACCAGCACAGGCGGGGGCGGGAGCAAGTGCTGACGTCAGTCAGGCTAAGCTGGGCCAGGGGCTCTGAGGTCATGGCAGGGCAGCTCCACCCGCTTCCCGCTATTACTCCCACCCCGCTCAGCCAGACGGGCCTCCCTTCCCAGGCCCCCATGTCTACCCGCGCCCCTCCTCTAGTCCTCTCTGCCATCGCTCCCCCTCCTCTCCCAGCCTCTCTCCTCTATGTCTTCTTCTCTCTTCCTCCCCACTCTTGTCCCTTGTCTCCCCTGATTTTTCTCTTCCACCTTGCTTGCATTTTGGGGGTTCCCCTCATCCCCTATCCCTGTATTTCCCTCCGTCCCTTTCTTTCTCCCCAATCCACTATTTATCTTCATCTCTTTCTTGGTACCCTTCTCTCTCTCCCCATTACCACATTTCTCCAAGTTTCTGTCTTTCTCTCCATCCCTTTCTTCCTCTCCACTTCTCTTGCCTCCTCTCACCCTCATTTGTTTCTCTTCTTGCTTTAAAGCTCTCCCCACCTCCCCCTTCTCGCTTTCCCCAGTCACCCCCGCCCTGCCTCTCCCTCAGCTGCCTCTCCTGTCCCCAGAATCCATCTCTGGGTTGGGCCCCCCAGGGACATGTCTCAGCAACTGGTAGATGGAACGAAACACACACACGTGCGTGCTGTGGGTGTGTCTGTGTCTGCGCTGGCCCAAGGCACGGCTGCCTGGAATCGGAGCTGTGAGTGAACGTCTGTCTATTCAGTGCCTAACTGACGTGGGTCTGCGTGTGTGCACCAGGGCCTGGGGTGGAGGGCTGGAGCACTGGGGTTTGTATCCCCAGGGACTCAGGGATGAACACAGAGAGTTGTCAGTCAGCTGGCCTGGGGATCCAGCCGGGGTCTGTCAGTGCTTTCACCCATCAGGGAAACTGAGTCAGAGGAAGGGTGGAAAAGAAATGCGGGACCTGGGGTGCCCAGACCCCAGCCCCTCAGGACCAGAAGATCTGCAATAAATGTCTGTTTCCATGCCCTTCTTTCTATGAATTTTTTAAAAATTATCTGTATCTAATTCTGTTCTTCTCTTTCCTCCTCTTACTGCGAACTATTGATGTCTCACTTTCTGCCTTGGTAGCTGCCTCATTCTTTTCTCCCTGCCTATGACTCCGATGACCTTTGGTGTCTGGCAGGGTCCAGCTCCAGGACAGGCTGAAAGACATGGAGCAGCAGAGAGAAATTTCCCCGTCCTTCTCTCTCTTTGTCTGCCTCTCCCCGAGTCTCTGTTGTTTTGTATCTGTCTCCCCATCTCTGTTTCTCGGTCCATCTATCTGGGTCTCTGCCTCTGTGTATTCCTGTCTGTTTCTCCTCCTCATCTCCCCTCACAACCATTCTCTCTCTGTTTTTACCCAGGAGTGTCTGTCCCTTTGCATTTCTGAGGTCTCCCTGACTTTCCTCTTGTGTGGCTTTCCCTCTTTCTGAGTGACTTTCTCACTGTGTGTCCGTATGTGCGTCTCTCTCTCTCTGTCTCTCTTTCTCCCTCTATCTCCCTCTCTATCTCTGTCTCTATCCTCCCTCCATCTCTCTGCATCCCCATCTCTTTTCTTTTCTTTTCTTTTTTTTGAGATGGAGTCTCACTCTGTGACCCAGGCTGGAGCGCAGTGGCATGATCTCGCCTCACTGCAAGCTCCGCCTCCCGTGTTCAAGCGATTCTCCTTCCTCAGCCTCCTGAGTAGCTGGAACTACAAGCATGCACCACCACACCCGTATGTTTTTAGTAAAGATGGGGTTTCACTATGTTGGCCAGGCTGGTCTCGAACTCCTGACCTCAAGTGATCCATCTGCCTTGGCCTTCCAAAGTGTTGGGATTACGGGCGTGAGCCACCACACCTATCTCTTTGTGAGACTCTATCTCTGTATGTGTTTCTCTCTCTCTCTCATTCACTGTTTCTCTCCATTTCTCTGTTTGTACATCTTTTTCTCTCCCTGCAGTTCCATCTCTTCCAGCCTGTCCCGGAGCTCTCCCCTGCCGGACACCAAATCCGCACACCCTGGAGTTTTCCCGAGGAGGATGCGCCAGGCCAAGCCTCTGCCCGGGCCTGGCTGTCAGGGAGAAGGTGCATTCCCAAGGACCCCGAACGCCCCGCCCACCCACCAGGGCGGGCCGGGCTGTGTCTGACGCTGTTGCTGGGAGCCGGGCCGCCTGGTGTCTGGCTGTGTCAGGATGATGGATCCTCAGATGATCTGAGGCCAGCCCGGAGCCGAAGGGGAGGGTGAGTCCTCCGCCCAGTGGGAGGGGGCAGCACAGGCCCCTCCCCAGAAGTGGGGCATTTGGCTGCCCAGCCCCCACCCCGCCCTGCTCGGGTGGAGCAGCTGTATAAAACCAGATGTTTCTAAAACCAGAGTGCAGATGAGGAAGGATAACGAGGGCTTTAATTCTCAAAGGTTCCCTCCTCTGAAACCCAAGAGTCCAGGTTCCCAGCCCCTCCTCCTTCAGACCCGGGAGTCTAGACCCCAGCCCCTCCTCCCTCAGACCCAGGAGTCCAGACCCCCAGCCCCTCCTCCCTCAGACCCAGGAGTCCAGACCCCAGCCCCTCCTCCTTCAGACCCGGGAGTCCAGGCCCCCAGACCCTCCTCCCTCAGACCCGGGAGCCCAGGCCCCGAGACCCTCCTCCCTCAGACCTAGGAGTCCAGGCCCCCAGACCCTCCTCCCTCAGACCTAGGAGCCCAGTCTTCCAGACCCTCCTCCCTCAGACCCAGGAGTCCAGACCCCCAGCCCCTCCTCCCACCCCCCAGCCCCTCCTCCTCAGACCCAGGAGTCCAGGCCCTCAGCCCCTCCCTCAGACCCAGGAGTCCAGACCCCCAGCCCCTCCTCCCTCAGACCCAGGAGCCCAGGCCCCCAGACCCTCCTCCCTCAGACCCAGGAGTCCAGGCCCTCAGCCCCTCCTCCCTCAGACCCAGAAGTCTAGACCCCCAGCCCCTCCTCCCTCAGACCCAGAAGTCTAGACCCCTAGTCCCCTCTCCCTCAGACCCAGGAGTCCAGGCCCAGTCCCCATCCCCTCCTCCCTCAGACCCAGGAGTCTAGGGCCCCATTCCCTCCTCCCTCAGACCCAAGAGTCCAGGCCCCCAGCCCCTCCTGCCTCAGACCCAGGAGTCCAGGCCCCCAGTCCCCTCTCCCTCAGACCCAGGAGTCCAGGCCCAAGCCCCATCCCCTCCTCCCTCAGACCGAGGAGTCCAGGCCCCCAGCCCCTCCTGCCTCAGGCCCAGGAATCCAGGCCCCCAGCCCCTCCTCCCTCAGACCCAAGAGTCTCAACTCCCAGCTTCCTTCTCCCTTGGACCTACATGTCCAGCCCCTAGAATTTCTTGCAGGAAGAGATGACCAAGGCTGGAAGCAGCCCAGATAAGTGCTGAAAGACGGAGCAGTGAAGCTGGAAACTCCCACAGGAGGCCGGGGCTGATGGTGGAGAGACAGGTAGGGACCCCACACCCCTCACTAACACCCATGGCTCCTGGAAACTCCCACTCCTGTGATGGCTGTTCTCCAGTTCCTGCCCTGGGTCCACAGTGGCCTTCCCAGCATTTCAGCCATCATCAAGAAACCTCAGGGTACAGCTTACAGAATACCTGGACAGAAGGAGCACAGGGTGGGAGAGGTAAGGCAAAAATGGAGCAAAGGCAGAGGAGAGAACATTCATTCATTTTAGGGACATCTCCTGAGCCCTGGTGGACGGGGCTGGGCTGGGCGATGCCAGGCACACAGAGATGACTCAGCCCTGGGCCCTGCCCTTGGGGAGATGCCAATCTGGTGGAGAAGACAGCTGTGTAAACAGAGGGCCACAAAACAGTGCAAGGATGCACCAACCCAGCCCAAGAGTCAGGGAGGGCTTCCTGGAGGAGGTGATGCTGGCTGATGAGGAGTTAGCCATGGTCAGGGTGGGGGTGGAAGGTGGGGCTAGAAAGGGGCATCCAAGGCAAGAAATGGTGTGACCAGTCAAAAAAGTAAGGGCAGATTGATGCTGTGAAGCATAGTGGGTGAAACAAGGGTGTGGGGGTTTGAGGGTCCCTAGTGAGGTCTACCCATTTGTGTTTAAAAAATTTTTTTTGGCCAGGCACAGTGGCTCATGCCTGTAATCCCAGCACTTTGGGAGGCCAAGGCAGGAAGATCACTTGAGGTCAGGAGTTTGAGACCAGCCTGTCCCAAATGGTGAAACTCCATCTATACTAAAAATACAAAAGTTAGTCGGGTGTGGTGGCGTGCAGCTGTAATCCCAGCTACTCAAGAGACTGAGGTGGGAGAGTCACTTGAACAAGAGGCAGAGGTTGTAGTGAGCCAATATTGCACCACTGCACTCCGGCCTCCCGTCTCAAAAAAAATTTTTTTTAACTAAGTAACAGTTATACATATTTATGATATATAGCATGACATTTTCTATATATATAATCCATTGTGAAATGGCTAAGTCAAGCTATTTAAAGCATGCAACATGTTGGGTTTTGAATGCAGGAGTCAGAGGCTAGACCTGCTCTGGTGGCACTGGGGAGCCATGGAAGGGCTGTGAGCAAGGGAGGGGCAGGATCAGCTCTCGGTCTGAGCAAGGGCTAAACTGGAGGGAGAGACAGGGGCTCTGGGCCAGGATGAGTCGCTGGGTGGTGGGGTTGCATCAGAGATCCCTGGGGCTTTTCCAGGGTAGAGAGGAAGTGTGAGTAAGGTTGGGCAGAGGTGCAGGACCCCGAGGATCCAGGACCAAGAAGACTGGGAGATGGACACAGACATGGCGGGCTAACTTGCCAAACCCCTAACCTCAGCTAGTTCTGGTTACAGTTGCTCTTCCCTTTGCTCCATCTCAGGCAAGTACCTCCTGGGGAACCATTGAGGGCAAGGGGCTCCTGGGCAGTAACCTGAAGAGATCCTTGTTTTATTAAATGCTTGAATCCAGGTAGATGGTTTCTTTGCTAGGTGTCCTGGGTTGGGAAGGGAAATGCACATTGCGGGGATCTAGATAACTAGAGACGGAGGAGAAAAGGAGGTAGGGAGAGAGAGGAAAGACAGAAGCTGGCTTCCGCGACCATCTATTCAACAGCGAAACCTGCCCTACCCCTGGATTCCTGACCCGCTTTACTCTCCTCTGCTTTCTCTTTTCCTTTTTCCCCATAGCATTGATCCCCTTCCTATATAACATATAACTTGCATAAGGTACATTTAGTATCGTTTTTGTACAATGTGTGTCTTCCTGGTTCGAATGCAAGCTCTAGACAGGCAGCTGTCTTTATCTGATTTGTTCATGGCTCATTCCTCAGAGCCTGGACCTGTGTCTAGTACCTGGTAGGTGCTCAACAAATATGTGTTGAACAAATATGTGAGATCAGGATAGAAAGTCAGATTGGTAGATGGAGAGGGGAAAGAAAAAGGAGAGCAGCCAGACACGGTGGCTCACACCTGTAATCCCAGCATTTTGGGAGGCCAAGGCAGGTGGATCACTTGAGGT